CAGTCAATGAGGAAACGAGAGGAAAACAGACTGCTTCATTACAGGTATTTTGAAAGCCAACATGGTGAAGAATTACCATAGTTAAATCTGTAGGACAGCCATCTTGGTCAACACTTCACATAATAGTTTTAAGTTGAATAAAAGCACTTTGAAAAGAAAAAAAGAAACAAGAATTGATCTATTGACTCAATGAAAACAGTTATACCATAGGAAGCCATAAAGTGAAAGAGATCAAATCAAACATTCCTCCTGTTTGGCTAAAGGTAACTATTAGTGGAAGAACATTAAAAGCTTTGAAAGAACTGTTTACATTTATACTAAAACACACAAAGGATGAAACCCCGATTCCACTGAGATACACTCCAAATCTCGCATTGATTTAACCAGGGTCAAGATTTCACATACAAAGCCCAAACATCTAAATAACAGCATTAACCACTAGGAAACTGCAATTCCATGCAGAACCATCTTTACAATCAATACAGAGAGAAGTCATATTAAAATAAATTGTAATTCAGCACATACACTTCTTATATCCAATTCCAAAAAATGCTTTTAGATAATAGGCAAAATCCTCTTTCATAGTCCAGTAGTCCTAAATGATATATTGGACAACTTGCACTCCAGATGAACAATCTTGAGGACACTCAGTTCCGTAAGGGCCAAAAAAACATGTACCATTTTTACCGTCTGCTTCATTGCTGCCAAGCTTCAACATCTCATACAGACCCCAACTATACCACAGAGCCAAAAGCAGGAATATTTTGCCACCAAGCAACAGAACTAAACGATTGTTACAGAAACCAGAGCAATTTCTTCAAAGACAGATTTTAAGAATTGTCCATCTCTCACATGAAGTAGGATTTCAGGAGGCAGGGAGGGGATAATCCCATTTAGATTCAATGTGGCTTAAACATTGAACTTTTTTTTTAAAATGTCAGTTATTGAGAATGATACATGTCAAATTAACTGATGTAGTTAGACATACATATCCATCTTCTGACTAGAGCATTTATACTGATTCTATCAAGAAGTTGCTTGTAGTTTAGACGTTTAATGTTTTAACAACTTATTCTTAATAACTCATTCCCTTACTCAACAGCTATAAGCAGTCATCATATTCATTTTTATTGCAACATGTACAGCAAAAGAAATAGGAAGTCATTTAGAATGAACTCTCCTAAGGTACACTTTAGAAATCTACACTTAAATATTTTCAATATTTGAATTCCCCTCATTAATCTATATTAATCTATATATTAATCTAATCTATACAGTAAATTTGCAGTTCATAAAAGGAAACAAAACACTCGAGCATTACAAGCATCCTGTTGATGCTTGCTTGAAGCCCCACAGTCAATGTGCACAATTCTCTCCAACTGGGTGTAGTTGTTAGCATGCTTAAATACCCAGATGAATATAAAACTGAAAACACAAGTTCTCACTCTACAGTTTCACAGTCATTCAGAAGAAACCAGATTACATGAACAGAGTTCATGAAGCTGTAAACAACACAGAAATGAAGGCTCAGGGTTTTTTTTCCTTTGAACAGTAGGGTTTACTCTGAAGAAATAATGGTATCAAAGCATACCCAGCAAGTCTTGCACATCCTATTCAAGGATCTTGGCACGCTGCAGCCTCACAAGATGTGGAACGCAAAACGAATTGTGAAGTTTTCTTTCATATTTGTATAATTTCTTATACCCCACAGTTAACTATATAGGCACATATGTATGTATATAAAATTAAATCTGTTTAAAATAAATATAGAGCAAACATATATGCATACTTCTATACACGTTTTCTGAACACTACATAAATCATACACCAGACATCCTGTTATGCTGTTCTGCAAGAAGTAACTTGGAGTACAGGGAAGTGTATGATGCCACAGAAAGCGCTTTATATATTACACTGTAAAGTGACAGACAAGTAACCCTGCCTCTATGAAGAGTGACAGATTTAACAACTCTTCAAATCACGCCACAAATGCCTCTTGCAAAATTCCCTGTAACTTATTTTTACAAACACCCTTTCCAAATCATGACAACTTTTCTATTTTTAAATAATCACAACATACTTAAACTCATAGATAAAAGTCTAACAGGATCAAACCACAAACTTTAACTGTAGTCAGAGAATATTTTCTTTTTGATACAACAAATGCCTTTCTGAAGTTTGACATTATGCTTCTTTTTTCCACCTCTAGTTCTTTTCAAACTGTCTTCTCTTTTTACACTTATTACTTCGACTCACACTTTTCAAATTTGTCAACAAGGTTCACCTGTTCTCTGATTCTGAAGTTTAACAGACTGGGGTTCCAGATTCCCAGTCACCCTCCTATCTCAGCTGCAATTATCAAAGGTACACATATAGGATTCAATATGGGCTTGCCAGCATGCTACTTAAAGCTTGCGTTCACAGAAATGAAAAAAGTGTGCCAAGTCTCAAATAAGCTAGGATGTTCTTTAAAATTCAGCATAAAACCCATAGCAAAACACCACAATTTGTGTTCAGCAAGAAAGCCAATTTCGTAAGTCACACCCCCCACGTTTACTGGGCTGTCTGGCGAAGACCACAGGCAGAGTGCCCCTGCAGCAGAACAAGAGACAGCTGAAGCTAGTAGCCCTGTCTTTGACAACAGCCAACTGTGGAAAAGAATAAAAACACATACAATGCTGCTCCTGGAGAGTGTCCCAGCCTCCAGGAGCAGGTTACATAAGACCACTTCAAAAAGAGGTAGCGCCTTTGTATTTTATGCACATTTTGAATATTTTTCTCCTTTCATGAAGCTGTACAATCATTTGCTGAATCCATCTGAAGGTTTAGCACATAAAACACCCTACAGCTTCTCCCACAGAGAACACTTTGGAGATTAGCTGAATAAAGTTGCTTGTTTGTTTGGTATCAAAGATGTGAAGAGTCTATATAATTGATTCAAGCACCTATTGCTAGATTGTGATTCAGTGGACTACTATAGAGAATAGCAGAAGAGGAGATACTACTTCACATCGCTGTCAAACACTATACCTTCTGACGACAGAAGGGTCATACCTAGAAGAACACATAAATAAGTGTGGGAATATCCCCAAGAGGGACAGCTGCAGCAGCTGCCACTGCATGAGGGCTGCTACTCCGCAGTCAGCAACTGTAGAGAAGCCAAGGAATGGCACAACGTGCCTGAAGCAGAACCTCAGGTGATAAGGCATTTTATTAAATGTCCATATTGCTTCCAAGTGTTTTCTTTCTCCTCTACGAAATGTTTTCTGGGTAGTTTGAAACTCAGGTTTTACGATGACCTCAGGACGCCACTGCATCCATTCCCCTCCCTGCTACAAGATCTAATATTGCTAATATGCTAATATTGTTCCAAATAGTTCTCACAGCCCTCCAGTTAAAGGCACTAAAATATCATAAAAGCAGCTTTTCCTAAAGCCTACTCTGAACCTTTCCTGTTGGTCTTTACTTTTTGTCCTACCCACAGAGAGCATGGAGAACATGATTTTCTCCTCTGCTTTGCAGGAGCTTTTTATATGCCTGAAAACTGTTTGCATGTCCCTCCATTCTTCTTCATTCAGCTAACAACTCCTTCAGCATGTCAGGTCACTTTGTCTAGCCTTATCAATCTCACTGTTCTCTATTGGAACCAACTCCAGCTGGTCCAGACTCTACTTGAAGTGCAACATCCAAACTCAAAGATTTTTCTCCAGCTGAAAATGTAATTTCCAACTCTGTTACTGTCCTCTAAAGTATCCCGTTAAAACCGATTGCAACTTGTTTGAAGACTATTTTTTCTGATAATTTTGGTTTAATAAATCAAAAGGGATAAGACATGTAAGAGACTGAGAAACTGCCACTTGAGCACAATCACCAGGAAAGACAGAGGAAAGTCAAAGATCCCTTTGTATGTATGCCCTACCTCTTCTTTTCAGACTCCTCTTTTTTAAGAATACCTGAGGGCTAAAAAAGTCTCTAAGAGCTACACTTAGTTTATGGTCCTCTCCACAGAAAAACAAACTGTAAATTCGAGCCAGGCCGAATCTCACCACTATAGGGTTTCACAATTTGTCTTTTAAAATTACACTTACACAACATTAAGTGACATTAAACATGTTTTGAATATCAGAACTTGATTATTTTCCATATGTGCAAAAACAGGCTATGGACAACAGGGAACTACCCTGGACACTAGCAATTAGCTTGCTATAGAAACAATACATTTTATCTTCCATTTTCCCATTCCTTATTTCACAGTAGGGAAGCTCTCTCTACTAAATGAAGTGCTAGCTACACCACTCAGACACTCTATAGGAGCCAGGCAAGCTATTTGCCGCCTTCTAATATAACCTTCTTGGAAACAAAAGAAACAGAAACAAATCACTTTGAGGCAACTAAGTCAAAATGAGGACCAAGAGGAGACCAACAACATGCGTACAAAAGGCGGAAAGAAAGCCTATTTGAAGCTGGAATTAGACTTTTGAAATTACTTTCCCAAAACATCCTGTCAATCCGACATAGAAAATCTGATACACAAAAAGTGTATGAGAAAATTTGCCCTCTAACATTTTTATCAGATATTAAATAACATCATCATGATTTTTTATTTTCAAGAGCCCTAGGAATAACATCTGTTTCATAACACACCAAGCTATAATTACATAAAACTAGTAATTTGCACTCTGCTATTTTAATGCCTAATGGATGCACAGGAGTACTGGATCATCAATAAATTCTTCCAGTTAAATAGTAAATAATCAAAACAAGGTGATGGCGCCTCTGAGAGCTTCTAATCAGCTTTCACATACTTCTCCAAATCATTAATAGGCAGAAGAAGAAAACTGAGGCCACTTTCAAGTGTGCAATTTGGCCATGAGAAGGTCTAGCCAGATACAGATACCACCTTCAAACTCCGAGGTCTGTCCCTTGAAGGGAAAAAAGCGACAGAACTACGACTCCACACTGGTCTCACGCCACTTACTGTTGGGTGAGAAAAGACATACCTTCCGGGGTGTTCTTTAAGTGGCGCACACTTTGCTCACAATTGAAATATGCTTTGAAAGCTCTGAAGCTCTTAGGTTCCCAGTTTTGGTAGCCTTCCAAATAATTCAATTAAAACTGGTAACAGTATGATTATGGCTGGCAAACATTCTCTAGCTTTGTAATGACAACTTAAATATAGTTGTCGGTCTTCTATGCAGAAATACCTGAATACTAAAGCAGTTATCAAATACTCCAATTTTTGTCTTTTGAGACCTCTGAATCATTTCATTATCTTGACACCCAGACTTCATAATCAGACGAATCTTTTATCCTCTGAGACAGAAGAGTCAGTTTGCATGAATTGCTTTTCAATCAAAACAATTTTTTAAAAAGGAGCATTCTTGAAAAGAAATATTCCTATCTCCATTTATTGATGAGAAAAACGGAAATATGATACCACATACATGTCTTTTCCAGGTTTCTTCGTAAACGACAGAAAGCACTTCATCCCCCAGCTTCTGGCCTAAGCAGTGTGCCAAACATAACTTCTCATGTATTTTGGATGAGGATGAAAAGAAGGGTTTTTTTTTATCTCTCTCCTTTGAACTGATATGGAAAAGTATTTCATTATAATTTACTGTGAAAAAATGTTACAAGTAACCAGTGTTATGCAGAAAAATTCAGAAATTGGGATCTGTCTAGCACATCCTCAGATTTTCCTTCAATTTCTCCCCCCCCCCAGGCTTTAAGCTCTCTTTTATGCACAATATGCTGGCCCTGTCTCCCTGGGTTAGTTGTTTTGCTACTGCTGATAGTCGTATCAGATGTATTCACATATAGACTTGCCAAGTGGGACTGAATGTTCCATTGATTTGGAAGTGTCCTGAATGACTAAGACTTCAAGTTTTGCCCATGTAATTAATTTAATTGGAATCAAATATTCTTAGTTATTCAGATCACTCAGATGCTTTCATCTGTACTTAAAAATTAAGATGAAAACGATGTTTATGTTAATGATGAAGTTCAAATACAGTCAAACTTGAAAGGTTGACTAATTGGGTCTCACAAGGAATTTGGATATGGCAACCTTTTCAGGACATCACCGAGTAGTTTAATAGTAAATACTAGAATAAGATAATCAATAATTTAAAAGATTAGCCTTATCTTATGCACAGATTTGTGGAGAGACAGAAAATGAAACGCTGAAGGTATAATTTCTCCCTGTCTGCGACCACATGCACCTATGAATTTTGAATGTGCTGGGGAAGAAAAAAAAAAATTACCCTTCAGCAAATTCTATTTTACATAACTGAAGACCATGAGAGACTGTTCACGCAATTTCCAGACATCATTAATGCATTTCCAATAAACCAGAACTTGCACCTCTCTGTCTTATCGAACAAAGCTGTCTGAAAATACTTTAAAAAAAAAAAAACCAAAACATTTTCCTGCCCAAAACGGTTATTTATTTGGAACCTATGACAAAGATCCCAGGGTCAACAAATTGCTAGAAAGCTAACAAAGCCACAAATTACATATGAATGTTTAATACACAGATTAAGTTCTGTAACTTAGAACCTACTAAACATTGTAGCATTACCTCTTACGTTTGTTTTTCCATGGAAAACTTCAGAGTCTTGGTTTTTTCCTTCTATGAAGGGTAAAAAAAATTTTTGCAGCCTAGGGCTACTTTTGTGGAAGTAATTGTGATTTTCTACTGAGCGAATGGTGAGAACCAGGACTGTTTCCATAATCCTTCTCCTCATCCTTAAAAACATGTGGAGAAAGGAGGGGCAATTGGTTTTGTTTTTAAAACAAGGAGCAGCAGAGCACAGCAACGTAGATGAGATAGGATAAGATTTGAAATCATTATCTTAGATTGTTTTTGCTACTCTCTACAACAGGACGCTTGAAGCAAGGAGAAAGCAACACCAAATTCTTATTGAACTAACCCCTTTTTTCTTTCCTCTACTGATCAGGTGTGTGGGAGGAGGAATAGTCCACAGAAGTAAGTATATGAGATACTAACCACATACACTGCCAAGATATGTTAATTCGTTTATTAATCCTGCACTATTGTCTTTGATGGTATCTAATAGTAAGAAAGAAGGTGTGTAAAATAATAAGTGAAAACTTAAAACACTTAAATATCAATATAAATACCCTTAAAATGTCTATTTTTAAACACTAAATACTGGTAAATTGCAGCTACTGTTACCCAAAAATGCTCTTTGCAGCCCTCCAGTGGTCAAAAACAAAGTAGAATCCAACAAGAAAACAATTCAGATTTGTCTGATGAACTACCTGCAGCATTTAAAAAGACATCCCCCCTGAACTAAAAACTCGCATGCTTGTCAAAAGAAAGGGAAACAATAACCTTAAAATACATAAGGAATTAAACAGGATGACAATAATCCCCCCCCATCAAAACGTTTCATAGTATTTGTTATACCATACAGGTAATCTGCATAGAAAACATCGTATCCCACCAGAACTTCAAGGTATATGTTGGTTTAGTAACAGAAGCAGCAATTCATTTCCTACAGTTACTTTCTGCTATTCATACAGGTTAATCTAAAGAAAGTTAAGGCAATGTATGCTGGAAGGAATCGGTTTCCTCTCAAAGTTAGGACTCAAGCTGGTATTTTTTTAAAGAAAAAACACACTCAAGTTTTCCATTCTTTCTCTCACACACAAGTAAAATAAAAGGTAAAGCCTCATATAAAACTAAAAAGACTAGAACTGCTTTTAAATAATATAAAATCAACTGAGGCAAAGTTCTCAAAACTAAGTTCTTCAAACTTGGGGCTAAAAAGTCAGACCAGACCTGCAAAAAGACAACGTCAAGAGAAAAGAAAACAACCGAAGGAAAGACGACCCTGCGAGGCCGGGGACAGCAGCGCCTTTTCGAACGGGCGGCGTGAGGAGCCTGCGGGCGCGGGAAGCGCGGCAGCGCCGGCGCTGCGGAACAGCGAGTCCCGGTGACCCTGCGCCAGCCTGCGCTTCCCCGCGGGTGGCGGGTAAAGGGGGAAGCAGAGAGCGGACTGGGGATGCTCCGGACGACCTGATGTCACGGCCTCCCACAAAACTTGACATCGCCTTCTCCCGTTTCCCCCTTTCAGCCCTTCCTGACCGTTTACTGGGAAGCGGCAGACCCCAACCTACGCGCGAACCGCCGAGCGGCGGGGGCCGCCCCCGCGCCGGGGGCGGGCC